AGCTCTGTACTAACAATATAAAGACTGAGATTGAGACTTCAGACTTTCCTGGTTATTACAGACAAAGAGGAGGCAATAAATAAATAATGTTAATGAAGCTATAAGGAAATCAGCGTCTCATGCATCCAAATCCTGGCTGGCCAGGGAAAGCTCCTTAGAGGAGGAAGATTAGTAGGGCTGAGTTTTGAAGTATGTGTAGGAGTTAAACAGGTGATATGTGATACAAGACAGCTGTGGGGGTAAAGAAAACAGAATATCAGAGAAAGTAGAAGTTTTGCATGACAAAGGCAATTCAAAGTTAGGAGAATTGGTTAGAGAGAAATCAAAGAGAAAATCAGTAGCCACATTTTAGGATGGAGACAATGTGGATTCTTGAATTACTTCAAGCAGAAACAAGAGTTAATAAACTTGCATTTCAGAAAAATGACTTTAGCAACAATGTAAAATGAAAGTATGAAAGAGCAAAGAAGTAATGGCAGAAGGGACCCCTTACAAGGTCAAGGCAGTTCTCATGGACAAAGAAGACAAAGATATAGGCCACACTGGCATCAGCTGAAATCAAGAGGGGGCAGTTGAAAGAAAGATGTGATTGGCTGGATGTTGAGAGCAATGGGGAGAAAGGAGATTCCAGTAACTATAGACATCTGGTATGGAAATTGGATTTTCCAGTCTCACCAATATTGAAAGTATGGAGCATGGAACTGTGAGTGATAATTTGTAAGTGGTAATTTGTAACTTTAATTTTGACTATTTTGTGCATAACAGCAAGCATGATTCATAGTAATTTACATGAATGATATTTGCCTCCTATGAAACAAAGTGTCCAACAAAAAATGGTTTGCAGCAGATCAAGGGTGTTAGCACTAAAATGTCCACAAATCTCTGGACCTTTATCTTATAATGCAAGGCAGCTGCTGTTCCCATGAGGCGAACAGAAACTGGAGAAGGACAGACTCTGACCTGTGCGCACAGGTTCCCCGCAATTCGCAGTAAGCCTCTGCTTGCATATGATTGGCCAGATTGTGAGCCCATGCTTAGCTATAAAAAAAGCCAGGGAGGCATGTTATTTATTTTCTCTTTAGGAATGAAAAGCAAGGAAGGAGATGTACACCGTGGTGTCTGTTGTAGGTATATTGATATCGAAGTACTCGGGAAACAGCTGAGATGAAGGACTTAGGATACAGGTGAATATGTGTCTCGAACCCATAGGAGTGGCCTGGACAGGGGTCCAGGCTGGGGCAGAGTGGCCATGCTGTTCTCACGGGACAAAGGAAGAAGGTCAAGGGCACAGCTCCAGGGTTGGTGTCTGGTGACAATGAGGACTAACCCTAATATGTGAACATTTCCAGATGAAGAAGGGAATGAAAATGAAAACATAAGCAAAGCCAGTGACCATTCACAGATACCAGAAACCCTGAAAAGAGGGGTCGGGGTCAGTTAGCAGAAGATGAGGTGGCAGAAAATTAACAATAAAACAGATTCCCAGAGAATGAGTAATCATCATCCCTTGATCACAGAAATGAAAGTCTTGAATGAATATAGAGCAAGCAGAAGTTAGGTTAAAAGCATATTTTATTTGCAAATAGTTATTAGAATTTAACATTTCAGAGATGGAGCAGCTCAGCTTTGATTAGAAAGTTCTGGAGCTTGTCAAAAATATTGCTGAATAAAATGGGATGGATCTTCAATGACAATAGTGAAGTGGAAAGGATGATAATGACCAAGGTGCTACATTTGGAGAATGCACAATATCACTAAAAGGTTGGGAGACAGGAAGGCGCTGAGTTGAATGAGCCATGAGGAAAGGAAATACAATGGATTAATGGCTTCAAAGAGGCAGGAAGTCTATCTCATCACCCATACTGGGGGAGCTGGAAGATTGTGCTGGTGAAGAGGTGGAGGGAAGATTGTGCGAAGCTGTGGAGAATGGGGGCTTGCTTAACCCATGATGTGTGTGGCAGAAGACCAGTGAGAACCTGTTACGGTGTCTTAAAGGCATGTGACTTTAGAGCAGCAGAGATGGACAGCAGGCCTTGCATTTTCTCCATGCCAAGGATTGGAGACAGGGGGTTCCGCAGTTGCCAGGCTTCCCTGGACTTATCCTGCGTGATGATGGGGCCCAGGGTTCTGGCAGAAGTCTTTGTTCAACATTCCAGCAGATCATTAGAAAATCATGTCATTATACCTCAAGGAACTCTAAGCCGATGTGAGCTGGTAGTGAACTTGCTCCTGTTGTCCCTCATTTCTTGTGGAAGACAACAATCCTGAATCTGGGGAGGGACTCTGTCTTTCTGGGGTGGGCACCACACAAGAATTGTCACATTTGAGAAGTCATCATGGATATACTGGGAAAAGTAGCAGACCAGGGAGAAGGGAAATGGATTCCTCTAGAAGGCATTGGGTTCCACATAGGTTAATGTGAAATGTTTTATTTAACTGGGAATTTTTTTTTATTATTTAGCCAGAGAAGGATACAACTGTTTCATCTTAAAGGAATGATTCTGGAGCCAAATGTACACAAAGTTTAAGGATGACTTGTTATTGCTCTAAAAATATAGCAATATCATTTGAAGGATAAGAAATACTTTAAGGATAACATGGCTCAGTATAGCTAGAAAATGATTAATATCCACAGTGTGGACAGTCTTGGCTTTCCAAAATTGTGATGGCTTGTTGTAAAAGGTTAGGAGGTATGTTTATTAAAACAAAGATTAATTACTAAGGAAAAACTCCAAAGGCAGCACAAAATACAATAGAATATACTTTGGTCTAAACTGCAGAATACAGGGTGTATCTTTACATTTAATTGACTTCAAAATCAACTTCCCCTCTACTAGTCTCTGTTTAGTCTGGCAACATACCAGGGAACAATTCACATATGAGGACAAGGCCGGCGGGATGATCATCAGTCCAGCTCCCACTTACACGACGGTTTTCTGAATTCTGCATTATGTTCGCGTCATGTGTGAGAATCCGGATATTTAGAAAGTGCAAATATTGAGCATTTAGAAATAAGATCATGATCCATCACAAGTTATTTGTTTCAACATCTTTGAAGTTAAATTGGAACACGGTTCTGCTTTATTACAGTAAATTTGTTCTTATTGAAACTAAGGAAATTAGAACAAGTGAGAAGCCGATTTCAGTTCAAGATTAAGAAGCTTCTGATAATGAAGTAGACTGTCTCTTGACAGTGTTTGTATTCTCAGCATGGCACTTTGCACATTTGAGGTATTAAATTATTTTCCATTTTAAAGATGTATCATCGGTACTTACGAACACATTGCAATTTAATCATTCTTGCTCCGAGTGTTTATAGTAGATAACTTAGTAGGTTTTCCTATACATATCATTCATAGATGGCTATTCTCACTATAACTCCACAAATTTATAAATGTTGTGCTATATTTAGTTGTTACTTATTATATTTATTGTAATGAACATTTTAATAGAAATCACATTCCTCATTTTATCCAGTATCCTGAACTAGTTGGACTCTCCCATTTCAGTTATGGATTTTAAAAAACACGTATATTGGGGCCCTCCCTGGTGGCACAGCAGGTTAAAGCACAACACTGAGAAGCTAAAGCCACTTCAGCATGAGTTCGATCCCCACCCCAGAGGCAAACCTCTCCTGACCCGCCCTCTGCTCCCTTCAGCAGTGTACCTTGTCGATCTGCCTGTTCTGCTCCCCACTCTGTCTCTGGCGAAGCGTCTCACCATCCCTGCACCTCTGGCCTGTTCCCCAGTTCTGTGTGTATAAGTAAATAAATCTTAAACAAAAAAAAAACATGTATACTGATTCAGGATTTCAAGAAGTATGTATATCTTATCCCCATTATATTTTTTCCTTAATATCCTGGACCTTTTCATATATAATCTGGGAATTTGAGTTGGTAGTTGGGACATTTGAGACAATGTGGGAATGTGACTGGAAATAGCTCATTAGAGGCAGAAATGCACAGCAAAGAAGAGGTCAATCCAATTAGTTTTCTCCATTATCAAGAATTTATGATATGAAGAGGGAGACAATTTAGGCTAAACTTTTATGAATTTCATAGGTATTTATTATTACCTACTCTGAGACAGGAATTGGGTTTGTGTGTGAGCAAAATAATTATATTTTTTTCTCATGGTGTATTCAGTCTAGTGGAAAGGCGACAACCAACCAACAAAAACTGAATGGTGAAGAGAAGTTGAATAGGTCAGGGGTAGGTGCCCAAAAACTTTGTAGAATAAGTTAGCAGAAAATGAGAGGGGTTCAACAAGCTGATTCCACAGTGGGTGGAGCTGAAGTGAGCTGGAGTATAGGGTATGATTCCAGGGAGCCAACAAAGTCACATTATGCTTATAATTGCACAAATCATAGTCCAGGAAGAATAACTTCCTCAGAACAAGGCTCCAGAGTGACTGATACTGCAGTGAGATGTTGCCTACTTTACAAATCAATGAATGTGTTTTGAATAAAATACATGTATTTGATTCCATTTCTGGTACAGCATGGGTCCTTATAAGTGGATATTGAAATGAAATTTGTTATATTATCATCTCCCCAAATATTTCCCATTTTTCTCACATTAGCTGCCTTTTCCACTTATATACTCTATGATAGTCTACTGTGTTTAATGAGTCAACACATCGATATGTTTTTAAAGTAAAACTTGCACAAAGTTCCTTAGAAAGTTGCAGAACAATATGGACATGAATAGCAAACCACAATAAAGACTCAGTGTCACTGAATTTGTGTTACTGAGAATTTATGAGAATTTATGTTACTGAGAATTATTGATAGCACACAAGTCTGTTAATGAGTAAGTAGCTGCAAGTTAACATCTTGTTAAGTCAGAAAATTGAGAAGGATAAACTAGAACTGCTACCATTTATGTGTGTGTGTGTGTGTGTGTGTATAGTTATTTGGCACAGGAAATTATAATTTCAGACTTTATTAATCTGAGTCAGGTTAATTACTGTGTCAGCTAATTTCTGTCATTTTAATGCAGGACTGTGGTTTGCTGATTCTCCCAGATGAAACCTGTGGACTGCAGCCCATTCCCACTGACTACATAGAAACCATTTCACAGCCTGCACTAAAGATTTGTCCATCTGGGGACATAAAAGGTGACTGTCACATTGGATAACCCATAGCTTAAAAAAAACTCCCTTTAATAGGAATACGTGTAAGCTTGCTTAATCTTTGAACAAAACATTCAGGTTGTGCATTGTTTTTTTTTGTTTGTTTGTTTGTTTGTTTTTTATTAGTAAGAACTGCAACACATATAAATAAACATGCTGGTATACTATGTGATATATTTTGATTAATCAAATGCTATTCTCCTCACCCTTGCCCTTTGCTTAGCTAATTCATATTCAAGTACAAGCCTTAGTTCAAAAGTCACTTGTGCCAGGAACTTTCCTTGAGCTTCTGATTTGCTTCTCTATTATCTGTTTCCAGAGATCCATGTGCTTTCTATCCATAGCAGTTGCTACAATTATTTAAGTGATCAAGTATGCAATTAATTATTTGAGGTCAGTCTGCCCAGGCTGAACACTATATAAAAGAAACTGATTTGATCACATTATCAATTCTCTTAGCACTACAGGTTCTACAGAGTAGTCACAAAATAAATATCCTTTGGCCTTGCAAATCAAGGGACTAAAATGACAGAAATTCAACTTTAAAACATTTCCTTTAATTTAAAAAAGATTTGCAATGACCACACCCATCTATTGAACATCAATGTGTCCCATCTTTTGAACCTTAATAATGGGCAGGCCAATTGTGATGTCAAGTTCGAATTACAGTGATTGATCCCCGCTAAGCCCCATGCAGATCCACAACCAGGCCCTTTAGAGCCATGGCCCACAGCGCGCTAGACCTTTCTTTATGGGGCAGCTCAAGGGATCAAGTCCAATTTGGGTCTAAAAATGCCTCTAAGGCAGAAAGAGGAGCCGGGAACACCTTCCCTGAGATTCCCGGTTGGCACTCGGCCTCCTGACCCAGGTCTCCCTTCATCTAAAGAGTCTGAGAAAACACTTAGGAGCTTTTCTACCCTTGCTGTGAACTTCACACCACAGTTCGAATGGGAAATGAGTTTCACAAACGGGCAGGACAAATTGCAATTTGGCATGCACAGTTAGCAAACGTGGGCATAAGCCTGTTCCTGAACATGTGTTCTAAATAATAAATTACAGTCCGTGCTTAGGGTGGACTTACCCATTATGGTGTGTCAGGTGGTCTGATTTATGATGCTCGGCTAAATGAGATATATACCCTTATCTACAAAGGAGACTCTCATGTCTAGTTAAATATTTTTTTTTTATCAAGCAACAATTTATGAGAATCATAAAAACAAACTAATTCTTTTCCTCCTACTGAATTGAGTCAAAAATCTTCCTCAGAATGTTGAAAGTATATCACTGAAAAGTACCACCACATCTGCCCAGGAAGCTGGCAGTAACTTATGCTAAGTCCTGATGTGACATTGTCTGGGGCCTGGCGTTCCTAGGAGGTGGTACCACAGAACAGGTCTTCTGGTAACTTGTGTAGCTAGGCCTCTTTAAAGAAGTCCTCTCTCCCCAAACTGATGCCCCCATCAGGCCTGTGTTCCTTGGTCTAACACATCCAGGTCTCCGTCACCTGGCCTGTCTGTTTCCCTCAAACCATCCCAGCTTCTCCCCTGACGTTATGCCTATAATGCTGAAGGAGGTCTCCAGACCAGTCTGGCCCATGCTTCTCCTGATTCTTCAAGTCTTCTTCTCATGCCCTAACTTTTCTGGGTCTGTATCTTTCTCCCCTGGGATGCTTTCCTTTGCCACCCCACTCTCTGATTCAACTGCTCTCTGTGCTCCCAGAATATCTTGGGTGCTTTCTATAATAGCTAGCACTTATCTCATTATGCGTCAAGTGCATAATTGCATGTTTTCCCTCTCTTTCTCTAATCAGTAGTCTTCAAAGTGGAATAATGCATCCAAGGGAGGGAAGGGTGGGTCATGGACTAATCTATAGTAAACATTACAATAGTCACTCTTATTTTGTTTTAAAATGTAATAATAAATCCAAGCAAATATACGTCTAATTATAGCATGGGTGTATGCTATGTGGAAGGTACATTAGCAAGACATTTTTACTAATGACAACACTAGATTATATATTTTACCAGAGCAGAGACTGACCCTTATTTCTCTTTCAATAGCAAACAATTTTAAAAGTGGTTATAAGCGAACACCAAGCCCAAGTCTTCCTTCATTGCACAGAAGACTGAACAGCCAGAGGATATCACTCAGGGATAACTGCCTCACCCTTGAGGAATAAAGATCCCAAACTGATGAATGCAATCAGGACAGAATGTGCTAGAATAGTATTTTTCTGTTGGAAATGATTTTCTTCTTGATGCTAGGGCTACATGCTGTTGAGAGAAGCTGTCCCATAGAGCATTGGAAGGACGTTTGTTCAGGAGCTCCACTTTGTACCATCACTGACCATCATTTGCCTCCAAAATTTCATCTGATAGCACATTAGAATTATTGGTAGAACTGGATCCAGGTTCTCACCTTGCCACTGTAATGATGCTCAAAATATCTCCCCAGTAACACTAGCTAAGATAATCTTAAGTGACTATTTTATTCTTAAATTGATCTTTAACCTTTACAAAAGACTTTAAGTATAAATCACAACCTAAGAATAATATTTGTTGCTTAACAAAAAATATAAAATGGAGCCCTCCCTGATAGTACAACAGGTTAAAGGGCAGCAGAAGGAAGTTCTCCGTAGCCCCTGAAGCATGAGTTTGATCCCCCATCAGGGAAGTGACCCACATGGCATAGCAGATCTTTCCTGACCCACCGCTGCTCCCCTCAACAGTGTATTTCAGTAGCTCTGCCTGTTCTGTTCCTTACTCTGTCTCTGGTGAATCCTGTCACCACAGCCCCACCACCCACCCCCACTCCTCTGGCCTGTACCCCAGTTCTTGTATGCATAAATAAATAATTTTTTTTAAAAAAAGGAAAGATGAAACAATTCATCTAATTCGGAGAAAGAAGAAATTTATGCTTATTACTGAGTGAGAATTGATTTTAAGGAAAAAAATTCAGATCACTTTTTATTATATATAAACAGTTTTGTCATATATTTTTAGCCAGGAAATATGAAAATCTATTCTTTCATACATATAATAAGTGTATTGATCTGTATTTCTTCTTAATTAAAACCTGCTTTATTTTATAACATAATAGTCAGGAATCAGTGCTACCATTTATATAATTTTACATTTCACCATAGCCCTAAGTCACTAAGTTGAAATCTTTACTCCATTATATCACCAATTGGATTCACTTAAATAGCTGAAATCTAACTTGTGTTAAACATAAAGTAACAATTATAAATCAAATAAACTTCTCCCAAAAGGCAGTTTCATTGCTCAGAATGTTATTCCCTAAAACATATGTCATACTTCGTTTCAGAAATCACAGCTTTGGTTCATTCAGTGTTTAAATATATAACATAGAATTTATGTCCCTCTTTTTGACAATTTTAGTTAAGAGCTGGTATCATTTAAAATGTCAAGAAATCCTAGTCCTGCAGATGTTATACAGATGTCTATTTCAAGCAGTATTTCTAACTCACAATAAAAAAAAAAGACATTGTTAACCAATGCAGAAGCACAGAGCGAGGACTGTCCAAACATGTAGTAGTATGCACCCTGGGGGCCAAGTTTTCCAAGATCTGATCAGGGCTCCTTTTTATGTGTATGCAATTTAGGCACCCGCGAGCTAATTGCACCCATATTTGGGTCTTTGTGCACACAACTGACCACTTGTTTCTTCAGCATTAGCAGAAAATAGCCAAGGTTTGTGCAAAATTAACTGTAAGCAAGGTTAGGGGTAACAGTATCTAAAGGAGGTATGCATGTGTTCTTAGAAAATCAAAGATCTGATGAAAAACAAGTCCTTCATAGTAATACTAAATATAATCTCATTAGCAGAGACATATGTATGGCCCCACTACACCAATGTTCTATTAGAAAGAAAATGAACAATCTATTATAGAAACATAGTCTCTGTCAAACATGAACCCATTGAAAAGTTCATCTTTGTACAATAAAGATGCACTCACTATAACGACTTATAGGATTTTCCTATAAGTACGACCGAAGCCATTTTTGAGCCACACTTCATTCTCAAGGGATGACTTTGCACTGACCTGGGCTAGCGTGATAAAGACTAATGTGATAAAAGTTTCCACATAGTGGACACTCCCAGACCTGGGCCCCTGTCCCTCTGCCTTGGACAGCACAACCTCACTCTGTCATTTAACGCTTTGGCCCTCCACTTACCTCCTCTGCAAAACAGAAGGATGGATAGAAGGTGGTCCAAAGTTCTTTCTAATCCATCCAAAGGGGTTCTATCTGCTGTGCCTACTGACCACAGATCTCTGCGAAGTAAAGTTTTTCTAAAAGGTGGTTGGTTTCCTTGAGGAATTCATCAACAAAGGTTAAAACTTAAGGCTGTCTCTAAGTCACGTAGTATGAGAAGAAGCCAAGCAAAGTTGTTGAAGGAGTTGATTATTAATTACTAACCATTTATACCAGGACAGAGTTAGAATTGAAAACAATATTTAGTCTGAATAGAAAATGGAAATTATAGTGGGGAAGCCAACTCTTTTTTCTTTTTTTTTAAAGATTTATTTATTTATTCATACAGAACTGGGGTACAGGCCAGAGATGCGGAGGGTGAGAGGATTCACCAGAGACAGAATGGGGAGCAGAATAGCCAGATCCACGAAGTACACTGCTGAGGGAGCAGCGGGCGGGCAGGAGAGGTCTGTCACGCCATGTGGATCTCCTCCGGGGCAGGCGGGGATCGAACTCATGCGGAAGTGCCTTAAGCTTCTCAATGCTGTGCTTTAACCTCCTGCGCCACCAGGGAGGGCCAAGCCAACTCTTTTAAAGATAGTTATTTTACCTTTCAAATACCAGCTCCTCTCCAAAATTATCATCGTGAGAACCTTGAGTAGTACCGCTGCTTCCTATACCTGGAAACTTTGGAAACACCTTTCACCTAGTGGATTTTGAAATGGATGGATGGATGGATTGGTATATAATACATCTGTAGGTATATATGTTTATATTTATAAACACATTTATATGTATACATGTATGTATCTCTACAATCTACCATGGAGACCAGTTGCTTCTTCACTTTCACTCCTGTTAGGGTGATCTCTTACTATCCCTAAAGTGCTATCCTTAGCACTTTCTTTATTCTGAGCTACCATGACTTGCTTAAGCTAGGGAGGCGAAGTAAAACAGATTCATCAGTTGTTAGGTATAGGGTACAGTGACAAATGCCATACAGATTTGTCCTAGACAGAAAGAAATAAATGTCATCATGAAAAGATTAAACAATGTGGCCAACTTAAATAGAAGTGTTCGACATTGGTGGCATATTGGAGTCACCTGAGAAACATTTAAAATTTACTGATGCCTGCAAAACAAACCCACTGGTTCTGCTTTAATCACCTGGGATACAGTCTCTGAGGGGACATTTCCAGATGATTAGTGTACAGTGCGGAGGTTCACTGAGCAAGGAGGCACAGAGGTAGGTGTGTGTCTCCAAAGTTCAGTTTCCATTAGGTCCACATACGTAATTTGATTATTCATCAGTCATTATTTTGCTATAATTATTTTACAGGTATAAATCATAATCCTCTATCTGGTTATTATTTTTTTAGGTCAACAGTATAGTGGAGAGGCTTAAAAAAAGAATCAACATATTAAAATGGTCAGAAACCCCTCGCATCTAAGAAGTATTATTAAGTACATTTTTAAAATATGTAATACATAGGCCCTCTCTGGTGGTGCGTGGGTTGGAGCACTGCAAAGCGAAGCCAAGCCATGGCTGCTTCAGTGTGAGTTGCATCCCTACCCTGAGTTGAGCTAAATGGCACAGCTCGCCCTCTGCTCCCCTCAGCAGTGTACTTCCTCAGTCAGCCTGTTCTGCTCCCCACTCTGTCTCTAGCGAATCCCCTCGCCACCCCTGTACCTCTGGCTACACCCCATTTCTGTATGCATAAATAATCTCTAAAAAAAGTTTTAAAAATATGTAATATCTAAATAACAATAACTCCAAACTCTAATAGAGGTTCAATAATGTTTTAAAATAACATTCTCCTAGAGAGTGACAGCTGTTTGGAAAAACAGTGATTGATCATTCCTGCAATAATATAGAGAGCACCAAGAAGACCGACACTAAGTAGGATCGTTTTCTTGATTTTTTTTAATTTTTAAGTTTAAAAATCAAAGCAAAGAAAACAAAGTTATGGTAGGAGAAATAAGTAAGTCCACATTTCTTTCGAATTGTCTTGTATTTCAACTCCCTGCTCCCGCGGCGCTGTCCACAGTAAAGTATTTGTGGCGCGTCTTCTCCGCTTACCTAGAAGTCATCATTTTCCCCTCCCCTTTCCCTTCTCTCTCCCCTACCTGTGTTTCCTCTTTCTTAGTTTACCCACCTCTGCGATCAATAGACAAGAGACCTGGTTAGATCTCCTTTTATATGTTATTATCTGTAACTATTTCCACAAAAGCAAACACTAACATAACACAACTTTGACATCCTTGAGGTTTTGAAAGTAAAAATTTTCCCACTGAAATAAATTTCACACCAGATTCATTTGGTAGCAGAACCACAAATCAAAATCAGAGTGGATAGATTGTGAAAATGTCCTTTCATTATTCAAAAATTAACTGGGAACATTTAGGAGAAAAACACGTAAGTTGTAGTACAGGCAAGACCATCTACAGGAGATGATTGTTGGCAACTTCAGAGTATTTTCCACAAAGGAGAGAGTTGAACACTCCCTATATAATAGTGCATGGAGCATACTAGTGCATGCTCCATTTCTGGGAAAGACAAATGAGGGGGAAGAAACAGAAATAAAAATGGTACTTTAAAGGAGAGATTGTAAATGTATCTACTTACACTAAAACTGAAGTGTTTAGAATATATTTAACTTTATCGGTAAAAAAGAATCTTAAATACACTAAAAATATTCATTTATCTTACAAACATTTACAAAAACTTGTAAGCTATGTGTGCCTAAACTCTGCAGGTAACAAAGGTGAAGGTGGGAAGTGTGCTCCGTCCTGTTAAAAGTGTGCATTGTGGCCCTCCCTGGTGGTGCAGCGGGTTAAAGCATTGCACTAAGAAGCTTAAGCCACTTCCACATGAGTTCGATCCCCGCCTGCCCTGGAGAAGTCCACATGGCGAGGCAGACCTCTCCTGACCTGCCCACTGCTCCCCTCAGCAGTGTACTTCGTCAATCTGCCTGTTCTGCTCCCCACTCTGTTTCTGGTGAATCCTCTCACCCTCTGCATCTCTGGCCTGTACCCCAGTTCTATATGAATAAATAAATCTTTTAAAAAAATATTAAAAAGTGTGCATTGTGCCACTACAGGCTGTCTGGTGGTGCAGGGGTTCAAGTACAGCATTAGCAAGCTCTCACCAGCTACTTGTAGCACGAGTTCGATCCCCAGGCAGGGAGGTGACCCACATGGCACAGCAGACCTCTCCTGTCTTGCCAGCTGCTCCCCTTAGCAGTGTGTTTCAGTAAATCTGCCTGTTCTGCTCCCCACTCTGTCTCTGGTGAATTCTCTCATCCCACCTCCACGTATCTCTAGCTTGTACCCCACTTCTTATAGGCATAAATAAAAATACATCTTTAAAAAAAATTGTCCCATTACAGCCACACCCTAGTCATGTGAGCAGATTGGTACCTACCTCACCCAACAGCTGAAGACCTACTAAAGACAACAGAGCTAGAAAGAGGTAAAGAGATTCTCACAAAAATGACTGTCCATCAAATTAAGGAATAATAACCACTCTTTAAAATACCATAAAGTTAAAATCAACCTCTTATATCTTAACTCTCTTGAGAGTAAGGACTATACTTATTTTTGGATGGCCAACCTAAACTACATGTTAGGTTGTCAACATCTGTCGCCAACTACCTCTCTCTACCAGTGACACCTTAGCTCTGTTGCTCCTGTTAAGCATCTAATGCACTTTTTAAAGAAGTAATAATTGAGTATCACATGATCAGTTAATTTAACACAGAACAGAATTTGTACCTGATTTCAATGTTCAGAACATCACTACCTACTGTGATTCTGTGTGGCAGGAGGCCATGCATACCTTCCAGATTGATGGAATGAATAGTCTTCTCACTGTGACTTCTGTAGTTGTGTGCTGTGTTTAAAACCCAGAGTTACTTGCAAAGTGTCATGTCATCAGTAGAGGCTGAAACCAAGGAAATGTTTCTGTCTGTTCCAGGTCAGTGGATCGTGCCTTGTCTTAGTTGTTCCGACAACAGGACCTGCGACTGGAGAGAAATAACTTGGCAGCCCCATCACTGTCAATATGGTGTCCTGACCAAGCCTCAGCTCCAGCAGTGCCTGGGAGGACGGAAGGTAAGTTCTGGGCTGAGTGGGAGAGGCCCTTCACTTACCCTACTACAGCACCTTAAGCCGTAGAGTTGACCAGTTCCTGCTGTCTGCTGAGGATAACTAACTGAGAGCAATTTGACTTTTTTGAATCATGGACAAATGTTATCATAGAAGAGCCTTCACAATTCATGCTCAGAGTGTTCAATTATTTCCAAACAAGTCAACTTGACAGATGGAGGATATTAAAGTCATGTCCTGTGCTGACCCAATTCCACGCTGTTTTCTCAGCACAAATTGGTAGACGCTTGCCACGTCAACTGACAGTTGGCCCTTCAGAGCAGCTGGTCTTGTCAACTGCAGCTCTAGCAAAGCGCTGTGGTTAAAACAGGCATCTGTAGCTCACACCGAAGGGAGCCTGCATGCAAGACTCCCTCCTGCTAGCGTTTAGCGCGTGCGTGGTGTTTCTTTACGTACTAACCTTCCTGCTCTTCTTTCACATTCTCGGGCAGGTCTGGCGTGGACCTCACGAGACTGCTTTTCCTTTAGTGTGGCTTCTAAACTGATTTCTGGGACATGCAGTGTCTTCTTGCTAGGCGTGCTCTGACTAGGTAGATACCGGCAGAGCTCGGACGTAGACTGACATGGGTAACACGAAGTAAGTAACCCCTACCCAGATTGCCAAAGTAACTTTTAACTAGATGAAAATTTCCTTCCGCCATATTTGTAAGCCCTCACACGTGGGCAAGACTGATTTCCAAAGCTGGTTTTTTTTTTTTAAGTTCTATTATTGCATAAAGAAAAGAGCACTAGGCATGGGTGATTTTGGTGATGGGAAGCCCATGGGGATTCCCACTGAGATGGAAAAAGGCACAAAATGATGTAAAAATAAACTATTATTTAAAAAAAAAAGCACTCAGACTGAATAGTACCACTTTTTCATAAAATTGGCCTATGTCCAGACTTTCTATTAGCAAGTAATTTTTAAGAATGACAATGGGTGAGGGGCCAGGCAAGAGGATGGACATCTGCTGGGTTCCCGCATAAATGCCCCAGGTTTCGTGAATTATCTCTGAAGTAGCAGTAGTGCTTACTTTTACCAAGGAGAAGGAAGAAAATGAACATTCGGGGACTTATGTTGTTGTCAGTATTGTGAAGAGAGTCCTGATCCCAGGCAGGGGAAGCAGCTGCTGTCTATGTTAAACCTTAAATATGACCAGACGGTGAGGTTGGGGGTGGGGGGTGGGGGGTGTGACTCACTGCCCCCACTCAGGCTGAGCACAACTTTTGGTACATAACAGTCCTCAGCAAGTATCCATTGAGTAAATGAATAAGTTAAAATCTTGTTTATTCCTAATCACAGTTCCATGAGGTAGATATTGCTAGACTGTTTCTGGTTTGTTAAAACTGAGATTGAGTAATTCTCCTGTGATCACACATGTTTAACCATGTACATATTTAACCACCACCTTGTACAATCCCTTCCACATAGCTTGGAAATGCGGGACCCAAAGCAATACCTGTCGTCTTGTTAGACTTCTCGAAACACTTTCAGAATACTGTTCTGACTTCAGAGAAGAGAGTATTGAGGAAAAACTCCAGGGAGTTTCAGCCATTCACCTGATGGCCACAGATGTCAATTTAAGTGCATCACTAAATTCCCTGGCTTTGCACGTGACAAAGTTTCCTCAGGCTCATTTTCATCATCTGAAAAATAATAAGCCAGTATGAGCTAACCTTGTGCTTGTGTAAATGAATCAACATTGTAGAAAGCTACAAACCTTCCTCCCTGACTGTCTTAAAATAGCACAGACTGGGTGGTTTAAGGCGGCATTTATTTCTTGCAGTTGTGAAGATTGTGAAGTCCAAGACCAGGGTGCAGCCTGTCTGAGTTCTGATGAGCTCCTTCTTCCAGGCTTGTGTTGACAGTCTTTCTTCTGTGTCCTCACAAGGGAGAGAGAGCACACTAGTGTCTCATTATCAGGACACCTCCATTTCAAACCTCACACTCTCTTTTAAAACCTAATTATCTCCCAAAGGCTCCATCTCCTAATATCACCCCATGGGGGTCGGGGAAGAAGGTTTCAGCCTATGAATTTTGAGAAGACACAAATATGTGGCCCATAGTTCGTCCTGGCTAGCAGTAATATCAAGATTGATTATTAGCAACACTACAAAGTAGTGGTAGAGAGAGATATGATGTAGTGAAGTCGGAAAATAAAGGTGTACATGTTCAGAGAGGTGATCCCAGCAGAGACCGGGTAGGCATGGCTTGGCAGGGCACACTTGGTCTCAATGTCTATCCTAGCCCAGGACGTTCTTCAGACCTTCATACCCAAACATTCTAATTGGTCAGTGCGCTGGCTGTGGTCCCACAGAATCTGCCTTGTTTACAAGGGTGCTAATTTATTCTGTACACAACAGGACAACCACATTTTTAGTAAGGAAGTAGCATGACCAGAACTGGAAAAATCTTCCTGTGGCAGAATGATGCTGCCCAGAGCAAGGAGGAAGTGTCTTTTGGGAGAGACTGTGCAATGGAAAAATCCATCAAGCAACACTGAAGAGGAAGAGAAAGTGTAGATTACATATGGGATAAGTAATGCCAAAATGGATGCAAATGTGCTAAATACACAGCATATTTCTGGAAATGACAAACTTAAGAATGATAAGTGGGCAAGAGCGATCTTAACAGCTCAGGATATAGCCATCACGAAGCCCAGTGCACCGTGCACATGGAGGATCTCGTGTTGGAAAAATCTTTAAGAATTTTGAGACAGCAACAGCCAAGCAGGGAACCAAACAGGACTCTTCTACACAGGAGTCCCAAGCAGCCAGGTGGGCTAGCCGCCAGGAGGCCAGCATTGGGATTCCATGGTGATTGGTGAAGGGTGAAGAGCTCTTTGTAAGTCTCTATATTGTTTTTATTTTTACAAGCTAAACATTTTTAAAAAAGATTTACAGAACTGGGGGACAGGCCAGAGGTGCAAGGGCGAGGCGGGTGTAGCAAGCTGGCAGTGCTGTGCGTTAGCCTGCTACACCACCTGGAAGGGCACAGAACATTTTTTTTTTAAGATTTATTTATTTATTCATATAGAACTGGGTATAGGACAGAGATGTGGAGGGTGAGAGGATTCACCAGAGACAGAGCGGGGAGCAGAACAGGCAGATCCATGAAGTACACTGCTGAGGGGAGCAATGGGCGGGTCAGGAGAGGTCTGCCACGCCATGTGGTCAACTCCGGGGCAGGCAGGAATCGAACTCATGCGGAAGTGGCGTAAGCTTCTTAGTGCTGTGCTTTCACCCGCTGCGCCACAAGAGAGGGCCCAAAGAACATTTTTTAAATTAAAAAACCTACATTAAAAAGTGTTTTAAGGGCCCTCCCTGGTGGTGCGATGGTTTAGGGCACAGCACTGCAAGCAAGCCGCAGCCACTTCAGTGCCGGTTCAATCCCAGACCCCTGAGGTGACCCACAAGGCGTGGCAGACCTCTCCTGTCTAGCCGGCTGCTCCCCTCAGCAGTGTACTTCATGGATCTACCTGTTCTGTTCCCCACTCTGTCTCTGGTGAATCCTCTCACCACACCTGCATCTCTGGCCTGAACCCCAGTTCTGTATGCATAAATAAAACATCTCAAAAAGTTATTATAAATCAGAAGACAGGGCCCTCCCTGGTGGCGCAGCGGGTTAAAGCACTGCACTGAGAATCTAAAGCCGCTTCCGCATGAGTTCGAATCCCGCCTGCCCCGGAGGAGACCACATGGCGTGGCAGACCTCTCCTGACCCGCCCGCTGCTCCCCTCAGCAGTGTACTTCGTTGATCTGCCTTTTCTGCTCCCCACTCTGTCTCTGGTGAAGTCTCTCACTGCCCCTGAGTCTCTGGCCTGTACCCCAGTTCTGTATGTACAAATAAATAAATCTTAAAAAAAAAAAAAATTTAAAATAAAAAAAAAAATAAATCAGAAGACAAAGATGGTGGAAATGCAGAGGAGAGGGAGTATGAGGAAAACACTTTGTGTCCAGACTCCAGGATGTAGTCTACCAGGTGGCACACATATGCTCACCTACCACACACAGAGGGCACAATTCACACCTGTACACTGCAGAACATCACGCATTCTAAGAACGTTCTATTTGTGAATAGGAGTAGGTCAGCAAAAGATTATCCCCCATAGGTCTATGACTCACTTTCCAGGAGAACCATCTGAATATACAAAGTGACCCTGAAACTCATCTGTTTCATTACTCAGTTAAGTTTTCATCCTTACCCAGAATTTTCCATGATCAATATTCTCTCACCAGAAAGAACAGGGGGTAGGCGGGAACCAAAAAGGGAGGGTGCCTTCAGAGCCCTCTAAGACCCTCATTTTTCACGGTGCTCACATTCGGCATCTCAGAGGATGTAAGAGCAGGGACCTTCTTAGACATGCAGTTCCTGACAGCCTGGCTGGGCTGAAACTTTCAGTTCCTAGGGAGCCTCTGACAGTTTACAGAGACAATTCAAAAGTTTCTCTATTGCATGAAGAAAGTGTGCAAACACGTTGAACTGCACAGAGCCAGAACTTTATTTTAAATACTAATCAAAGCAGTTTCAGCTTTGGGAATGCATTGAATCGAACTACCTTTCTCCAAAGAATCAAATAAAAAGTAACAGAGGGGGGACCTCCCTGGTGGATTAGCGGGTTAAAGCACAGCACTAAGAAGCTAAAGCCACTTCAGCATGAGTTTGATTCCCGCCTGCTCCAGAGGAGATCCACATGGCAAAGCAGACCTCTCCTGACCCGCCCGCTGCTCCCCTCAGCAGTGTACTTCGTCGCTCTGCCTGTTCTGCTCCCCACTCTGTCTCTGGTAAATCCTCTCATCCTCCACATCTCTGGCCTATACCCCAGTTCTGTATGAATAAATAAATGAATCTTAAAAAAAAAAAAAGTAACAGAGGGACTGGACCAGAGACAGTGATAAAAAACGAGAGGCCTTCAAGCATTGCTCTTTGTTTGCAGACTCTCTTAAGTAGTCATTTCCGTCAGGTG